AGCACGAGAGTTAGTTTGGAATGTCCTGTTCAAGTGAAGTCCTCACCTTGGGAGGTTTTTATGAACTTTGTCACTCACAGAATATGACCCCTGGCTTTTAAATTTTTATCTTTCTGTTAATTTTTCACTTCCTTCTACTAATCCTTATCTCGAAGGAACTGGGAAAAACGTCCTTGGAGTTGCTGCCCTGAGCAGCTTGCTCTGGTGGCTGCTTAGTCATTCCATGTCCTGCCCACATCTGCTCTTACTGGTGGCTCCAGTACTCTACCGTTCATCACGACTTTTTTCCTAATAGATCGGTCAGAGCAGACAGCTATTCATTTGTTGAGTCTGCCAATGCCATTCAAAAATGTCCCTTGAGTCCAAACCAAAAAAACAACCTCTTCTTCTCACTTTTGTTGTCTTTTTTGTAAAACCAGCTCACGAGGTGCTGGTAGTCTGGGCTGCGAGCAGCAGAGAGCAGCAGAGCTCTGCTCCCAGCGCCCCGCTGCCGTGGCTTTTCTCCTTTCTTTTCTTTCTTTTGCCACCTTGTCTTGGATCTTCTGTTTGGAAAAGAAATGCCACTTGTCCAAAGCATTCCTTAGAACATCATCATGGTGTTTCTACAAATACACGTGTGCTCAGACTCGTGCGCTGCTGTTCCTGCCCCATCCAGTACGACCAGTCACGGACGTTCCGTACGGGTGTTGCGCTTGTCCGTGCTGTGCAAATGGCTGGGCTTTGTGTGCAGGTTCCTCACGTCTAGTGAAGGTATTGCTACCTAAAAAGTGAAGATTTGCTACCTAAAAAGTGGAGATTTGCTACCTAAAAAATGAAGATTTGCTACCTAAAAAGGCGTGATACATAGCACAGCAAGATGCGTTTTATACCGGAGCTTAATGGTGATTAATAACTGAAATATTTTGGGTTGATTGGTGCTTTGAATTTAATTTTGACCCTTAGCAGAGACCATTTCATAAGAAGTTACCTACATTAAATTTGGAGAAAATAACTAGAATTTGAAAAGAAATAAGGAGTATGTGAATAAACGAGCGTGTTGTCGAACGCAATTTGCTGCTAATATTTATCGACATTTAATTACTTCTGTTCTGGTTTCAATTATCCATTATTTGCTTCTCATGGCAGATTTATTTCATAAGCCTACTTAATTCCTTCTTGGAGTTGACCACGGGAGAAGGAGCAGAATTTGGCTTTTTGCTCTGTAGGCCCTGGCTGTTTGTCTGCCCTGCCCTGCAGCTCCTCCAAGAAATGTAGGAACAGGGAGCCAGGAGGATGTTTGATTTTTTTTCTTTTTTTTGTCCAAATCCCTGTGAAAATGTGAATTTTCCTTCTGGTAGTGCCTTAACTTCATGACATAAGTGAAATGAATTTTAATTTGAGGAAAGAATCAAGTTTTCTGTTCAAAGATTCTCTTTTTCACTTGGTTGAGGAAACCACTTGAGCATAATTTTGTGTTGGTTATGGAGAGAATCCATTGCGAGGAAAGTTCTCGCAATCCTTCAAAATTTCAATCTGTTTGTGGGGTTTTTTTTGTTTGTTTTAGGGGAATTTACCTAAATATTCCCATAACTCCCTGATGGTTCAAGCTATAAAGACCAACTTAACAGATCCAGATATCCACGTGCTCTTCTTTGACGTGGAAGCCCTGATTATCCAGCTCCTGACGGAAGAGGCCTCCAGACCCAACACTGCCCTCATTTCTCCCGAAAATTTACAGAAAGCCTCCGGCGGCTCCGACAAAGGAGGTTCCTTCTTGACTGGTAAACGAGCAGCAGTCCTCTTCCAGCAGGTCAAGGAAACGATCAAAGAGAATATAAAAGAGCATCTTCTTGATGATGAAGATGAGGATGAAGAAGCGGTACGACAGAGGAGAGAAGACGGTGACCCGGAATATCGCTCTAGCAAATCTAAACCGTTAACTTTATTAGAATATAATCTAACCATGGATACAGCAAAGCTTTTTATGTCCTGTCTTCATGCCTGGGGTCTGAATTCTGTTCTAGATAAGCTTTGCCTCGATCGCCTTGGGATGCTTAAGCCCCACTGCTCGGTGTCCTTCGGCCTCCTGTCTAGAGGAGGCCACATGTCCCTGATGCTCCCCGGTTACAACCAGCCCGTCGGCAAAGCGTCCCGTGATGGTGTGGAGTTAGGGAGGAAAATGTCTGTTACAGAAGGACTGGGAAAGGGGACGTACGGGGTGTCGCGCGCCGTCACCACCCAGCATCTCCTCTCCGTCATCTCGTTGGCCAACACGCTCATGAGTATGACCAACGCCACCTTTATCGGAGACCACATGAAGAAAGGTCCCACCAGGTACGGCAAAAATTCACTGGAAGTCATGATAAGTTTCTTTCGGAGTCCTCTCTGGTTTATTTTGTTTCATTTTGTTGGGGGCTTTGTGTTAAACACCTATGGAAACCCTTAGGACCGAGGTGGAGCTGAGTGTATTTCTTCTCAAATAGAGGAATTTTTGGATGCCAGGATAACTGCTTTGACTGGAGTTACGTAACTTAGAATGTTTGTAGAGCATGGAGTTGTGTCAATGTACACACTGGTAGGTCTGGTTTTGTCCTTCTTTTTAGTGCTTATTGTTTTTAAAGAGTTTTTGTGACGAGTGGGTCAAATTTTAAGTAAATCAGAACATACAGAAGGAACCTTTTATTACCAAAAAATAAATTGTAAATGAGGTAGTTTTTTTTTGTTCTGTTGTTTCATCACTATCTTTAGCAAATAATCTCTCTCTTTTTATTTCTTTTTTTTTTTTTCTTTTCTTCTCTCCTCCCCTGTCCTCCATCTCCCTCTTCATGTCTGTTTTGTGTTTAGGCCACCTAGGCCAGGCACTCCTGAGATGTCCAAGGTGAAGGCACCCCCTCCTGTGGCAAGTCCTGCAGCCCAAGGACAAATTAAGCAAGGTAAACATCACTTGCTTCGCACCAGTTTGGGATGGCATTGCAGCTCTTGAAGTTCCCACCTTACTATCAGGTGATGGAAGCGTTGCTAGCTTCCACGTGGGAGGAGAAAGTCGTGTAATATTCTAGATAAAAATTTTAATGACTAAGACCTTTTTAAGAATTAATGTAAGATGTTGATAACTGTCATAAGGCAACTGTCCTGCTGGGACTGGGGAGAGGGAGGATGAGGAGGAG